ATTCATGGTTCATCTTGTCTTCAGAATTAACTGGGAAACCAATATTTCCGTCTCCTAAATCTGGCAACCTTACTAGAAGGACGTAGACATGATCCTGGCCTGTACAGCAGTTGTATTCTAGTGAGAGAAACAAACAAAATAAACACACAAAACAATTACAAGCAGTAACTACAAGCGTGCCAAAAAGAACCCAAGTAGACTGAAATATAACAACAGATGAGATGGACCCTGGAAGCCTTTCTTTGGAGAGTAAGGTCTTCAGACATGATATTTAGCCAGACTGAAGGAAGAGGAAGAAGGAAGTCATTGGGTATAGGGGTGGGCTGAGTGGAACAAGGAGAAATATGCAAACAAAACACTTTCTGAGTTCAAGGAACTGAGAGAAGAACTGGAATGAGAAGTCCACAGATGGAAGAAGAGAAACAAGAGACAGCCCCAGAGCTACCAAAAACCTGAACCAATGAGGCAGCAACAGAAAGAGGAGAATGTCTGGTTTTGAGTGGACCTGAAATTACCTATGGAAAGAGGGGTTGTGGAAAGCAGGGCTGGGCTGGCTGCTCAGTTTGTGGCAGTTGTATTTTGTGGTCTCAAATAAAAAACAAATGAATAAATAAAGCACCGGTATTTTTGAAGGTAACGCATTGGTATACTTTCCCAGTGTTCCTTAATATAATAGAATCTTTATTGAAAAGTAAACATGGGGGGAGCACTGGAGAGATGGCTCAGAGGTTAAGAGCACTGGCTGCTCTTTCAAAGGTCCTGAGTTCAATTCCCAGCAACCACATGGTAGCTCACAGCCATCTATAATGGGATCTGATGCCCTCTTCTGGTGTGTAGGCAGAATATCTAATAAATAAACTTTAAAAATTAAACATTGGGATCTAGTAAAACTATATTCAAACATGTTTTTAAAATAAACTCTGTAGCTGAAGCTTATGTCCTATCACTGATCACTGCCCAGGGCAACTGGCTGCTCTCAACTACCAGTCCCCACCGCTCTTCCTGATGTCAAGCCAGGACACCACAAAAGTACCAAAGAATCACTATGTCTGGATGTCCTCGGGCAACAGCAAATGGGAATAAAGATGGAGGCTCTCAACAGAACAAGAAAATTTGAACACAGGGAACTTCCCAGAGACTCATACTCCAACCAAGGACTATTCATGGAGATAACGTAGAACCCCTGCACAGATGTAGCCCATGGCAGTTCAGTGTCCAAGTTGGTTACATAGTAATGGGAAGAGGAACTGCCTCTGACATAATCTGATTGGCCTGCTCTTTGATCACCTCCCCCTGAGGGGAGAGCAGCCTTACCAGGCCACAGTAGAAGACAATGTAGCCACTTTTGATGAGAACTGATAGACTAAGATCAGAAAGGAGAGGAGAACCTCTCCTATCAGTGGACTTGGGGAGTGGCATGCATGCAGAAAGGGGAGGGAGGGTGGGGTCGGGAGGGGAGGAGGGAGGGGCTTATGGGGGGATACAAAATGAATAAAGTGTAATTAATTAGAAAAAAAGATGGAGGCTCTCTTGCCCTTTGCCTGTGAGGTCTGTGTTTGTGCCTCTGGTTTCCTGCAACTCTTAAGGATTAAGTCCCACACAGAGCAACTTCTCACTAGTGTATTATTTTCCTCCCCTTTTCCCCCTTCACTCTCCAGTTTTCAGGGGTATTTTTCAATCCCAAACCAAGACCACCACTAACGTAGTTTATCCACAAGACCCAGCCTTTCCCCCATGCAGTCATTCTAACCCTACTCTGTACCATCGCACCCCAGCACTGAGCCATTTTTGCCATTCCCTTATTAATCGGGTGTCAAACCTCTCCCAAGGCCAGGTCCATGGCCTGGCTTCCCATGCGCACAGCACCCAGGCCTCTGTACTCTATCTCTCCACTTACAGCAGCGACTCCCCATCCAAAGACGAGATCTCACAGAGGCCAGGCTTTTCACACCAATTAAAAACAAAAACAAAAAAAAGTTTAGTCTCCTTCTGTGTGCTTCAGATCATTTAGGAAACTTTGTGCCATTTCCTTAATTCTCCAAGATGCTCCTCAAAAAGAAAAAAAAAAATTGTCATCTTTTTTCTTGGAATGAAAAACTTCAAAGAACAAAAAGCACCCTGCTTAAGCATCTTCTGGTGACAGGAAGATTTGCTGCCAGACCTCCTTGGCATCTCTCTATATGTTACCATTTAGAAGAGAGTGTAATAGCAGCCATCCTTCTCATTTTTCTTTCTAAAAGACTTCTCACGGTCCAGGTTACCAGAAATGTTCCTAGTCCAGTAATTCTCAGCAGGGGCCATCTTGTTCCTTGATTACAACACATCCAGCAAAGCTGAGATTTTTTTTTTTTTAGTTGCCACAACTGGTTGGGAACTACTGGCATCTGGTCTCCTGGTGAGTCCACCACTAAAGTAGTTTATTCACAAGACCCAGCCTTTCCTCCGTGCTGGGAGTGCCCAGGACTGTCTCACCCAACAAAGAATTCTCTGGTGGTAAATGTGAATTAGCAGTGATTCTCAGCGTCAGTTGTGTGTTTGCTCGCTGGCAGCATCTTTATCTTCCAGTGCCCAGGATACACCTCAGACCATACACGCAGAAACACAAGGGATGGAACAAGACTATGGTCACTTCAGCCTCAGACTGAAGACCACTGTTTTACCAAGATAAAACCAGCAATGAAGACACCTCTGCTTCCAACCTGAGATACTGGTACCAGTTTTCCAGAGTCAACCAAAAAAGAAACAAACAAAAACAAACAAACAAACAAACAAAAAAACCAGGTTCTGAAAAACAACAGTAACGCTAACGCTCCATTTTCCAGTAAACTTAATGGACATGAAGGCAGTGGCATTGCGCGAGGGATTTCTCAGGAATTAAGAAACACTAAAGATGGCATCTACCTCTTAGCACTAGTTAAGGCAGGCAAATAAGTTAAGATCAGTAAATTACTTAGGGACTGGAGAGATGACTCAGTGATCAAGGGAACTGACCCCTCTACCAGAGGACCAGAGTTCGGTTCCCAGCACCCATGTGAGCCCTTCACAAGAACCTGTGACAGCAGAATGAAACCTATCACAATACAGGCACTGTATAACAAGAAGCTATTATTTCTGGTGGGGTTTGGGGAAATTGTTGATCTTAACATATTAATTATTGTTGTGATTTTGTTTGTTTATTTCATTGGGGTTTTTTTGTTTGGTTGGTTTTTTGTTTTTTGAGACAGGGTTTCTCTGTGTAGCCTTGGTTGTCCTGGACTCCATTTGTAGACCAGGCTGGCCTCACACTCACAGAGATCAGCCTGCCTCTGCCTCCCTGAGTGCTGGGATTACAGGTATGTACCACCACGCTTAGCGAATATATTAGATTTTAATATAATTATTAAGTAGTTATTAGTGACCATTATACGTGAATTTCAGTTTCCAAAAGAATGGTCATTAAGAACTAGGTTCTGAAATCCAGTTTGCGCCTTTACAGCCAAATGAACTTGTTGTATGTGACAACCTCTCCAAGCCTCACATTCTTCCTTAAAGGGAAGGAGTGGCGTAGTTCACGGGGATTTTGTGCGGGTTAAATGAGACAATGCTGTGGAGACACACACATGACGCACCCTTTACTGAGTACTCAGTTCCTGCCTCACAGGGACCATGGAGCCCTCTGCTGGAGGAGCTGCCCGAATGACTGAGCAGAGGTCCCTGTGCTAAACAGACTGCCATCTGGCTGGAGAGAAAGGTGTGTGTGCCCTTCTGATGCCTTGAGAAACAGATGTGCCGAGTACGGGAGGTCTGAAGCCCTGTTGTCTTTAGGAATAAAGAGCAAA